TTATTTATGATATTATACTTCATTTACGTCTATTTATCTATACCCTTATTTTGAATTATGTGCGCATCGTGTGTTTCAAACTTTGACAGTTCCGAGCTGGTCATTTTAAGGTAGAATGCCGGTGAGAAATGTTTGTTTCCAGTGTTGTGTTGATTCTGGGTTATTCTTAAGACTATATAGTGACAACGAAGAAGAAATAGACCAGTAACTATCCCAGTTTGAAATCTGGGCCCATCAAGAGCTCCAAATGCCAAAAAGAAAGATTAAAATCAAAGCAATCCAGACGGTAGAGAGAAATGAATGAAAGTTTTACGTTTGCAGATATAAAGGTATTTGGTTTATTATTTTATACTGTGAATGCAGCTGTACATACCGAGGTGAAGAGAATGTGTCCTGGGTGGTGTTGGGGGTGGAGCCCCCCATCAACCCTCTCCTTGGGTAGTGCCTAAAGGGTAAGCCTAGTCACGGCAACTTGAATTGTTATATTAGGCTGGTTTATTAGTCAATACGTTTTTTGGGAGTTTGGAACATGTGAATTCCCATATAGTTTGCCAAAAGGTGGTTTGTGTTCCGTAGAGCTTTTGAATTTTGGCACATTAGTCTGTAGAATTTCAAACATGGTGGTTACATTGATAGTTTCATTGGCTGATTTTAAGCATTTTTTGTGCTAGTTTTACACATTTTTGATTGTTATTCTTATTTAAGCCTGTTTTACCCCAGAATTTCCCTGATATACTTCATGCTCTCTCCAGCTATCAAATCAAGATTATTGATAGAGAAATGGTTCTTGATTTCCTCAACAATTCATTTGCAGAAGAAACAACACCAAGTATTAATGAAATCATTGGATTTCCTGCAGATAAACTTGATTTTTTTTTTCGATTTAGTCTCTGGGAGAGTGCATCGCTATCATGGACAGTAGAGTCCTCAAGCCATTATGTCACGTTTCCATGGAAACCAATTTTCAGTTCTAAACAAACGTACCAACATGGCGCTGTCTATATCGAGCCTATTAAATTTCTTTAAAAATGAAACTAGATCAATCTCTCGGGGAGAGAACCACTACAAATCAAATCATATTGATAGTTTTACATGTATACTTAGAGGCAAAGTCCAAGTAATCATAAAGAAAAAGGTGTATGATGTGATGGTGAATACTGTTTTCTTTTCTTTCATGGAAAATATATTGAATAGATGAGTGAAGTTAGAAAAATAATGTAATTTTTCTATGTATTTCCAATAGTAAGCAATGTTGTTTTTATGTAAAAGTGCTCTTGGCCTATCAAAAAAAATTGGACTGCGGAATGTATTTAAATAAATTACAGAACGTAGGTCCACTCAAATGTTTTTAAACAAATAGGGTACCGGAAAATAAAATTATTTGCAACAAACAAATTTACTTGAATATGGAAGACAATTAATAACATTAATTAATTAACATTCATTAACATCAAATATAATGAATCGATGTATAAAGGTAGATTCCACTATTTATGACAATAATCCAACCGTAATTCAATTCCTTCAGCTATCGTGAATGAAATATTTGAATAATGAGAGTAAATGCGCTACCGGTAGATAACTTGTATACGTTTGTGAAATGAGTTGCAGGTTTGTTTAGAACTGAAAATTCATTGCCATGCCAAGGTACAATACTTGAGAACTCTATTAGCCAAGATATAAAGGTATTTGGTTCATTTTTTTTATGGTATGAACTTTACTCAGTCCTGTGTTACATACTGAGGCAAAGATAATGTGTCCTGGGAGGTGTTGGAGAGAGATCCCCTGATGTGGGGCATGAAGTATATCAGGGAAATTATGGGGTAAAACAGGCTTAAATAAGATAAATAGCGAACAAAAATGCTTAAAACTAGCACTATAAATGCTTAAGATCGGCCAACGAAACTCCGCTGTCTTTGAAATTCTATAGACTGACGTGCAAAATTTAAGAAATCTATAGGGACACAACCCATATTATGGCAAAATCTATGGAAATTTGCATGTTCCAACCCCCCCCCACATCTAACAATTGAAGTTGCTACGACTTGACGTGCCCTTTGGGCACTGCCTGAGGGGAGAGTTGATGGGGGGCTCTGCCCCATCACCCTCCGGGATACATTCTCTTCACCTTGGTATGTATGGTCGCATTCACAGCATAAAATAATGAACCAAATACCTTTATATCTGGAAACCTCAAACTTTTGTTCGCTTCTTTCTCCCATCTTGATTCCTTTGAGTTTAATCACTTTTTTCGACATTTGGAGCTCTTGATGGGCCCAGATATTAAACTGGGATAGTTACTAAAGTCTATTTCTTCTTTGCTGCCACTGTATAGAGTCTTAACCCACTAACAACAGGTGTCCCACATATAAGACACCTGGAAAAATAAACATTGCCGGCATGCAGTGTCCAGGCTAGCCTTGCACGCCGATTTTGTAGCCACCTGGAATCTTTTATTTTCAGCTTCAAAATATGCCGACGTTAATGGGTAAAGAATAACCCAGGATCAATTCAACACTGGAAATGCAACATTTCTCACCAACGTTCTATCGCTGAATGGCCGGTGAGCTGTCAAACCTGGTGGGTGGTGAATGAAAGTTTAAAACACACGATGGACAGATAATTCAACAGCTTTAATAAAAGACTTAAAAAGCATAAATGTGTAACAGCAGACACTTATAATTAGCCAAATATTGTTTTGATAAGTGCGGAGTAACATTTGAACTACTTCGGACATCACAATAACGAGTTAAGCGGTCAGTGTTATGTTATTCCTGACAAGGTAAACAAGATGCGGGACTTAGAATCTGAGTGGTGATAGTGAGGTATATTTTCATAATTTTCTGTAACTGAAATGGGGAAATATATTAAGGTAATTGTTCAGAATACTTTTGCATAATTGATCACAATGATAGTGGTATTGATTGATTCCTCTAACCCTCTACTACACATGTATGTAGGACTTTTGCAGTGGAACACACCCAAACCCCACATTCTTGGCCCTGATAGCAAGGAGGGCATAAAAGCTACTAGGGAAATTGCAGCGCATACATTGAATACTTCACTATGATAATGATATACATAGAATAAGTCACTACATTGTCTAATAAAGGGGGCTGTTCCCTGCAACCACCCCTTGGGGGCTGGTACCCCCAACCCCTGCCCTGGATAGTATATGACTGACATTATGGAGTGCCTGATGCCAAGTCTGTCCTGTGCTCTTATCCTGCAGTACATATGTGGTGGATTCCTTAAGGCGTGGTTCAACTGGTCGAGGACCTGACTTGTGCAAGTGCACAGCCAGATGTAGTGTTTCAGTTGCAAAAAGCACTGCCTTAATAGACTGCACATGCCTCTTGCTTGAATGACATTGTGCATAATACTTCTCATTTGAGCACCATGGAGTGCAAGGATGTATTCCCTGTTTCACCATAGTTTTGTGTTTCAATGACATTTTTTTTAGAAAGGAGCATGGAAACCAATACATCAGATTCAAAATTTGAGATACCTGCGGAAAAATTTACGCAATTAGGCCCAGATAGCCACACTTATGGCTAGACCTGCGAGTACGCAAGACCAGTTAAGACCGCACTTTTATTGTCTAGGGTGGGGGTAGCAACCTCTCATGTAGGTGTTGCAGAGGGGACGGCCCCCCTAATTTTGACTTACACAATGACCAATTCTGTGGATATTATCCATATTTTACCTCATGATTTTTTGGTAGCATTGATGCCCGCCCCTGCTATTGGGCCTGATATTGTAGGGGAGGAGTTTCTGTGGCATTACTACATCTGGGTAGAAGAGACTACATCTGGGTAGAAGAGAGTGAGAGGAATCCATTGATACCACTCTCATCATGATTGGTCATGTGAAGGTATTCTGAATATTTACATACAATAAAAGTGTGGTGCCCTTTTATGAGAGTGACAATTATTGATTGTAATATTTAAACCTCATGACACAAAGTCAAATTGTGCAGGGTTGCCAGAAACGTGTTTGATGTAAGGTAAAGAAAGACTAGACTTTACTCCATACAGCATTTTTGTGTGACTTATTTAATTCATTTCTGATATTTTTTGCCAGTGCAGATTATTGAGTTTTTTTTCCCTCTCTTTATGGGTGTCATTGGAGTTTCCTTATCATAGTGTAGTCATTATATGAATTTATACCATATTTGGTCAAATAAGAAACCTGACTAAGCTTTGTTATATCATTATATACCTTGTGAAGTTTGTTTGCAGCATTTGCCATAGTGCTATAGGTATGAAAGTTAAGTCATTTGCTTGACATGCCACTGTCACTGTGGTGGCCGTTAGTTGATACCCTTCTAGCTCTTATGGAACCTTAAAATAATGCCCCAGTAGGGAGTGGAACCCCATGGAAATCTTGGTAATTTTATGTTTGATATGACTTTCACAAGACTCAGAGCCTGGTAGTAAGAATGAAACCAGTGTTTTTTTTTTCTGTTTAAACTTTGTTTACAAATTGAAACCCTCAGCCCTCTCTATTCAGCAGGCTTGGGGAACCCATGGGATATTGGGGTAGGTGGGAAATCAGGGTAGGGAGGAAGAGAATGTGTGAACCATAATTAATATCTGCCTAAAATTTGTAAAGAATGTAATTATATTAAGATTTACAAGCCTGGCTTGCATACCATGTCCACAACAATTGTAGACGCTAAACTTCCTTTGCATATATTTAGTAATGATGGAGCTTGGATTAGTTCTATATTTGATGATAAACCCTCTGGTTGTATCATTGATGTGTGTCTTACTTCATCTTTGTGTATCCTGTACCAGAGTAAGGCAATCACACATTTTCATGGTGCAAGAACTGGTTTAAACTGTCTCAAGTAAACTATAAACATGAAATCGTTCTTATACATAATTGGTCTATTGATTTATCCCTTTGCACAATGGTGTATGTACTGTCCAATTTGAATTTTGTTGTGCACAGATGGCTACACAAGTACTTAGTCACCAAGAGTTGATTAGTAGCCGATGTGACCCCATCTGATTACACCAATCTTTGAATTGATTCAACAGTCACAAGTTGACAAGCCATGCCCTGTCATGGCAAGATATAGCTGACCTAGGAGTAGTGTGTGCTGCATTTTTTTCCTTTATTGCCTTTATACAACTACAATTTTTTGTTCTCTACAAGAATATCATCTTCAGTTTGGTGCGTCCATATGATAAAGATTAATTTTATTGCAATGTCATTGAAGCCATTATTGTTATTATTGTAACTGACATTATGATAAAAAAAAGTAGAAAAAAAACTTGAAACTCAATGAAAAGGGTTAACATGTGAGATATATAGGTAGGCCTAGTAAAGTTACATCTTGGAGATGAAGGACATGTGGAGCCATGTATGTATAAATACAGTAATAAACTAAAATCACAGCTTGCATGTCATATGTCATGCCGTCCCAACACATAGCATAAATGGTAGTTTTTGTAGGTTTTCATGTATAGCCAAGTTGAATGCCCAGGATTTGCTTTTACTGATTGATGGACTTTTTGATAAACCAGTGCACATCAATTTAAACAGAACTGCATCAGTTTATTGTCGACTAGTGAAAGATGAATGTTAAAGATGCTGTTCTGAGTATCATGATTTTATATCAGTTGGCTTTATTTTTAATTTGTGTAGGAAATGTCATGTTTGAAAAATGCTCTATTTCATTAAAATGTTAATTCCATATCTAGGTACTGTCCATCATGAAAGTCTGTTTTCATACACAAACTACAGAAATCTCATAAACAGCACTTCAAATACAAAAGTTGTTAATAAGAACAACAGAAGTTTGCAAGCTGCATCTGCACCCTATGAATATGTCTATTTTATCTTCAGTTTCATGGTTATTTGATCAGCTTTAGGTGAATAGATATCATAGGCCTATGTTGATCTTTATAACTGAATTCAGCAGAAAGTAAAGAATTTCATTGTTTATAGAATTTTTCTTTGATGTATTGAAAAACATAAACCTGATGTTATTAAGACAAGATGCATGAAACAGACAGGGATTTGGGTTTATTTTATAAAAGTTATAGGTAATGAAATATCTGTTTTATGAAAAATAGGTATTAGATATGTATATGATATTTGTACCACCCACCAAGAAACTGTTCTCTCAAATATTTTACATCTCTCTTTATAGAGTCTATTTATAGTTTTATGCATTGCATATTAATGAGGATACATGTTGCTTATGCAGACTGTAGTTTCCTGTCTATTGTGCTCCTTTGTTGGGCTTCACCGTTTATTATAGGGACTGCTTTTTTGCCGCCTGATTCTTTTCTTTTACTGTATGTGGACCAACTCCTTTTCAGGTTCAGGAGTCATGCAATATGCCGTGTACATGCACTGTCCTCTGCAGTTTTGTTTTGTAAATTGTTTACTCATAAATAGATTTGCAAGTGCTTAGTTCCCAAGGAGTCCATTATAATTTTATTTGCTATACTGTTATTATTATTATTATTATTATTATTATTATTATTATTATTAGTAGTAGTAGTAGTAGTAGTAGTAGTAGTAGTATGAACATTATGGTTATTAAGAATTTAAAGATAAAAATAGTAAGTGAAATTAAGCAAAAAAGAGGTTTCAAGCTATTTTTGTTGGGCTGTTCCTCATGTTTTCTATATAATGTTATTGGTTACCACATTATTAGTTGCTGTATGGAGCTAAGTAAAAATAATTTGAACTTCTTATTCATGACCCAGACAATATCCCAGGCATGGAACAGCCTTGCCAAACTTCATCAAAAATTTTGAGTTGTGATCCGGACAAGGAGGGATAAAAATTTAAATGACCATGATTTAGTCTTTTGAGGAGGTTGAGGATAAATGTACTATTTAAGGATTACTTTGCCATTTATCATCTTATTTATTTAATTGTTTATTTATGATCATTAAACAATAATCTGATATTTATAAAGTGTCCTACTATGGAAATTTACTATTAGTTGCATTGTGACTTTTACAATTTTAGGCAAACAGTCATAGGTCATTATAAGTCTGTATGAGTACTGAGCAATTTTGAAATCCAAAGGCCTCTTTGATATCCCCTGAATTCTGTCAAGAGAGTTTTGATATGGGTGACATGACCATTGTCATAAAAAAATTGTTTACTATTGTCAAGTATTGAGAAGTCAAGCTAGGATTATGGGTATGTAGATAAACATAAGTTGTAAAATGCCTTAATGTGTATCCCTTTTTATTCGATATATTTAAATATCATAGTGTTTTTAGTATATATAGAACTTTTTACAATGTTCTGTAAATTGTTACCTCTTATTGATCTTACATCATGGAGTTGGACAGTGATAAACAGATTGTGGATTGGCAGCGATTCTTAATCTTGTTGCATGTTAAATGTTATGCCGATGACTATGGAGTAATCAAAGGGATTTTTTTTTATGATAATCTATGTTTGTTTTTGTCCTTGTTTATTTATTGAAATATTTTTGTTTTTTCAGAACCTCCAAGATGTTGGGAGGGTTGTTCATTTACAACCACAAGGGAGAGGTACTCATATCCCGAGTGTACCGTGATGACATTGGGAGAAATGCGGTGGACGCTTTCAGAGTGAACGTGATCCATGCTCGGCAGCAAGTCCGCTCTCCAGTCACTAATATTGCTCGCACTAGTTTCTTCCATATTAAGGTAAGAAGATAGTAAATTATTACAAGGTTAGATATTTTCTGTATTTGTTATGTTTATAGAAAATATTGAGTTGGTTAAATAAAGTATATAAGATCCAAGACAATTTGAATTTTATTATACACCTTCAATTGTGGTACTTATATATGAGTATCAGATTTTCCATGTTTATAGTCACAATGTGATTGTTTTTTCAGAGAGCGAATATCTGGGTCGCTGCAGTAACAAAACAAAATGTCAATGCTTCGCAAGTTTTTGAATTCCTACTGAAAATGCTGGAGGTAAGATATTGATGCTCTCTAGGTTCCCCACAACAAACATTTCAATGATATTGGAGTGTGTGTGAGTTTGGAATAGGAATTATATTTTGTAATACATGATTGTCCAAAGGCAACTGATTTTAGTAGAAGTAACATTTTCTACCTGCAAATATTGATACAAGTTTGGTGCTCTGTTTTCCACTCTTTCATAGCAAATTATATCTTACAGGTGATGAGCAGCTATTTTGGAAAGATCTCGGAAGAAAATGTTAAGAATAACTTCGTCCTCATTTATGAGTTGCTTGATGGTATGTTGATCCTAGTGTAGTACCTTGCTGTATTCTGGTATACATGTATATATTTTATACTTGGTACATGGAAATAGGCTTTCATCCTTCAGACAGTTTCATGTACTGTCCACTGCAGGATTGTAGTGAATCTTGTTGCACACAGATGGTTCCACAAGTCCTCAGCTCCCAAGGAGTCAATTAGTAGGCACCTGATTCTTTGATTTTTTCTAATGTTCTCAATATTGGTACTGTTATTATTATTAATATTATGATTATTATAATGTCATTAGAATGCTAATAGCAGTAAAAGATTAAGGATTTTTTTTTTCCAAAAATTAGGGAAAAGTGTACATAGGTGAGACAGATATGACTAATGATTGACTACTTTGTGGGGTCATCTATGTGTAAACACATAAATAATTCTAAAATACAGTAGAAATGGCATGCCAACCATAACCCTTCAGTAAAGGGTATTTCTTGTTTGGTTACTGAAAAAACTGTATCTTTCTATGTTTATTTATTCATTTGCTTTAAGTTAAAAGCATATTTTTGAGGGGAATAATGGAATGAAATAGATAATATAGGTATTCAAGAATAGTTTGCTTTAAAAACTCTTATACAGGAAATCAATTTGCAAGTAATAGATACTATAAAAGGCTCCCTAATAAAAAATCACAAAATACAAATCTTTAACCCATTAACGGCAGTATATGTTGAAGCCAAAAATGAAAGATTCTGGGCGGCTACAAAATTGGCGGATTGAGCTTCTCCGGAGACTGTCCGCTGGCCGGCCGCAGTCCGCTGCTGCGTAGGAGCGCAAGCCCCAATACAGCGTCGCGCTGCTGGGACGCCCGGCAATGTTTATTGTTCTGAGTGTCTCATATTTGGGACACCCGTTGTTAGTGGGTTAAAGAATATTGAAAGGGAGACTATCTCTGTATACTTCTCTCCAAGCACCACTCATTGGCTGTCACTTAACTTGTGTAGAATCACATTTTCTTTATAAGACATTTTCTTTTCAGTCAGCCCCCCCTCCCCTTGATGAGCAAATTTCTTTACATGTAATCCTTTTATCTTTTCCAGAAATCCTGGACTTTGGTTACCCTCAGAATACTGACACTGGTGTCCTAAAAACTTTCATTACTCAGCAGGGAATAAAGACAGCCACAAAGGAAGAACAATCTCAGATTACTTCACAGGTATGCATTACTTAATATTAATCAATATATAGTAATCAGTATATACAAAGACAGTTATTACTGATTGAATGTTACTGGTACATGTTCCTGAAATTAGGTTTCATTGCGTGAAAAGGTGTAGAAGTTCTGTGCTGTGCATAAAACAAATTATAAAGATCGATGTTGGGTCTAATAATGAATGGTCTGTCAGGTCACTGGCCAGATTGGATGGCGCCGGGAGGGCATCAAATATCGTCGCAACGAGCTCTTCTTGGATGTTATCGAATATGTTAATTTGCTGATGTCTCCTCAAGGTAAGCTAGAGAACTTTAGTATTTTATGCTTCAGAATGCAGTATATAGCATAAATGGAACCATAACTCTTGGTACTGTAGTTTAGGTCCTAAGAATGCAAAGTTTATTGAACAATGTTCTATGATTATATGAAGTTGACTGACTTAATAGTTTGCTGGAGGATAGGTGAGTGATTGATTGAAAGATTTTTTCTTTTAATACTGATCAATTCACTTTGTGTTTATGAACAGGGCAGGTATTGTCTGCTCACGTAGCTGGAAAGGTTGTGATGAAGAGCTACTTGTCAGGGATGCCAGAGTGCAAGTTTGGCATTAATGATAAGATAGTCATGGATGCCAAGAGAGGTTAGTGCTTTCTGTTGTTTATAAATAACATTTGCTGTAATGTTATTTGTGTTACATGTTGAATGCATTGTCAAATTTTGTAATGCAGATGAAATGATAAGACTTCTTTTTTCAAGGATAGTTTTTTATTGTAAAAATGCTGTTATATATTCTGGTGAAAAATAAGATCCCAACCTGTTTTTTGTGACAAAAGCAAAATGAAGTATAATTCAGAATGAATAATATGAGCTCTTCATCAAGTTAACCCCTTGGATCGGGGTGCAATGGTTACGCAAGTAGCCAGCATCTCAGGCGAGTGGCGCATAGGCAGTAGGCCTCCCCTTTGAGAGGTTATTTTGTGAAAACTTTTTTAGCTTTATTGCCATTTTCCAATGTCCATATTTGTCTTTTGATTTGCTTTATCCAGATGGTAATTACTTATTTTCCTTGCACAGACTCCATATCATCTCCCTATATAGTAAATAGCTCACTGCACGAAAAAAAAAAAGAAAAAAAGGAACATTTGGTTATTTGTGTCATATCTCATTTTTTTGTAGTTTTCAATTTTCCGTAATACAACTGGCACTGCCAGTCACAGCGGCCAGGAATACGGTGCACAGCATGGAAATGGCGTCCTCCCTGGAGCCGGCGCTTTTCCAGTCACTACTTACGCGCGTTACATTCCACATTTGTTTATCGATGGGAATAATGCTAAAGCCCCCTTCTAAGTGCCAAATGAGTCAGATCTCACTCCATGAGGTTTGTGCACTCGTGACGAATCTTTTCCGTCACCCTGGCCTTCGCTCTTGACGCTCCGTTCACATCATCAGTATAGCTGTCCAAGATTTTCCTTGATGTGACCGCATCGTCATCCGGATCCAGGGGGTTAATGTAATTTTGATGAAGAGGGTATCAAGATATTAATTTATGTATTTTGTATTATGGCATTATCCTTTTTAATTTACACTTATATCTACAATTGCTCAATTTTAACAACTACCTTGGAAGTATTTATACATTTGTTCATATAAGATGATGGTGATATGTTGAGAACCAAATTGAAAGAGAGTGATCAAGATAATATCAAATGATTTATTCAAGAGAACCATCCTCAAAATGTTTTTAAAATTTCAGAAGAGACCAGAAATATTTAATGGCAAGATATGTAATAAATACTTTTGTACTTGGTAAGGTAATATCTATCCTACTTATGAATGTTGCACAGCCACTACTTTATGGCCCTTACATGGCTGCAACAGTAAATAGGATTTACTGTTGAAGGTGTAAAAGGAAGAAAATGCATTCAGCAGCATTGCAACTGTCAATGCCCTCTTATCTCTTTGGCTTTGCACCAAAGCTTTTCTTCTTCTTTAATTGTTCTTTAATTGTCGTCTTCTTTAACCCATCAGCGACGGGTAAAAATTTTGGCAAGTTTACGTATGCACGGGCTTGTTGGCGCGTACCGGCAGTTTGCCCTGTTTGCGCCCGGCTCGATCGGTAGTTTGCGAGCGACATATAGCACCTAAAATCTTTTATTTTGCTAAAATTTATAAAAATATTAAAATTTTGAAGGTTTACCTTCACTTTAGGTGCCATTGCCTAAAATCTTTAACATATAAATGAAGCCGCTACTACTGGAGAAAAACAACCTCCGTCCGACGAGCCAGTAGCGCGGGAATGGGCATGACATGATGCCCCCGGCGTTTGGTCCACAACAGCCATGGCATGTACGTACGTGACACCCGGCGCCAATGGGTTAATTACCATTGTCTTTATGTTCTTTGATAGTCTTCTTTAATTGCCTTCTCCTTTAAATGTCTTTGTCTTTCATTGTCTTTTTCTTTAATTGGCATTGCTAGCAGAACATAACACTGACATTGATTTTTTTAAAATCTGGTGAAATCTGATTTTGTTTTTGTGTATTTTCTCACAGTTTTCGATAATCTGTATCTTTATGATGCCCAGAATTAGGAAAATATTACAATGTGAGCAAATTCTGTCCATTGTAATTTCTTTGATCAGACAGAAGTATGAGAGGCTTTGAGATTTTGATCTAAAATGGATGGCCAGATATTGAACCTTCCTGTTTAAAGAATTGGCAGGTATTATTGCATTATGAAAACAACTCTGTATTAGAAAAGAACCAGTAGTTGGCAATAGAATTTACAAATATAATTCTATTGGGCAAACTCCCACTCTAAATATTGCCAGCAATAGTGATTTGCAATGCTATATGTAGATATAAAACTCAAATCATGCTAAGCTTAACATTTACTTCAGAGTTTTAATCGCAAGACAGTTTAATTTTGCATAAACTTTAAGATCAGCAAGAAATTTTACAGCTTTGATTGTAAACAGGCAAGTAAGTACTCAGTTTTTGTATTGTAGTGTTACTGTAAGTGCTTTAGCTTAGCATGGCATTATTGTCTCATAGAATGAAATCATTGTATATAGATAGCCAATAAAGA